TTTATTCCCAACTGCCGATGAAAGCATCTGTGCGACACTGTGCTTCGCACAACCAACATCTGGCCTACCCAAGCGCTGCTAGGGAAATTCTTCCACTCTGCAGGGCTGAGAGTATTCTGGGTCAGGAGAGAGGGGGGAGCGCTAATTAATAAAGGGGATTACCCATGCAGAGATTGCCTGCCTTCTCCTCCTCGCCTTGACTCAAGCAAGTGCACTGAAAGGTACCGGGCCCACCTGGAAAAATCATTTGCTAGGCACCGTGCTAGTGTCGGGCTCCTTAGTGCACATGCAGCGGTGAATATGACCCTCCTTCTTCATCTCACGTTCAACCTTGAGTCCAAAAATGGACACATGCTATTGCTCGATCTGTAGCCTCGTTAGTGCACGGCACCCCCATCCGTGGCAGGCCAGTAGGTGGTCTACAGTCGGAAAGTCTCCTCCACTTTCACACGTGGTGTCTGCGTCATTAGAGTACCCCCGCAGTTGCGGCCCTCCATCAAAGCTTTGACACTTAAGTAATACCTTTAATTCATTTATCTCCAAATGAACCTCACCAAGGCGGGCAAAGAGCATCATCTCTGCTTTGCAGATGGGGTAAAACGAGGCATGAAGAAGCTGCGGGACTGCTGCAAGCTCGCGCAGTCGGTGGGAAAGTCGGGAACAGCAACAGCGACCCGAGCGCCAGTCATAAGCTCCACCCGCAAACCGTCCACCTCCTCTGTGCAGCATGACATGCCCCAAGCTTTTGGTGTCCCTTTACTGTTATCTCCTATAATTTATAAGCCTCTAAAGCAATCCTCCCTGTGTAAGACTTGAGCAAACACGACACACCCTCACCCTATCAGCATTGTACGTTACCCCCTCCATGCAGCTGGGAAGATGGTTTTCCTCCCCTTAAAGGTACAGCGCTCAAATGATGCAGTCAAGGGCTGCTCAACCTCTGGCCTGCAAGGTTCCTCAAGGGTCTGGAAATGCGGTGGCAGGGAGCGGCGGCAGTGTTAATAGCCTGCTCCTCTGTGAGGAGCCCTGTGGACCAGATGATGTGGCCACCACTCTGCCGTGGGACTGGCACGTGGGGTCACCCCGTGCCCGAATTCGGCCAGCAGGATCAGGCCAGCGCCCGCAGACATAACACCATATACAGGAAGTGAGGCATCGTGAATTGAGCCTAGTGCAGCTGTTTCCCATACAAGCAACACCTCTGCCTATACCACCTCCATGCACCCAATGGAGTTTGAAACAGAGCTTTTCCTAGCACTTCAAGTTAGACCGAGGAAGTGTCCAGTCATGTCCTCTGACCTCAGGGAAATTAAAACAACACGGCCCGCAGATGTCCAGTCCCAGCAGCCCCCATCATTCTTTATATTCCCATTGCAGCGGCCTTGGAGCTGGCTACAGGTGTGTCTAGATGGGTGGGGGATTTGTATTCCTGCATCCTGCTACAACCAACAGGGCTGTGGACAATGTTGGGGCATGGAAGAACCCCAAGGGGCTAAGAGCAGGATACTGTCATTGGTGTAAAGCACTGGACTACGGGTGATGAGGGTGCAGGGTAAGACCGCAGGCCTTCGTGCAGAAATGACAATGTATTGGCCCTTCTTTTCCCCGATGAGAAATAGCAGAGTATTGCAGGGAGGCAAAGCCACAGGTGGGCGCACAGAGGAAGGCTGCAAGGTGTTTGTGGTGCCGGCGCGTTAGCTGAGGCGCTGGGAATATCACAAAGGATTGGATGGGGCTCAATGTGCCGCTTGGCGGTTGGGTGAGGTGGTGGAGGGATCACAGCAGATGACGTGATGGTGGGCGACCTCCCCGGATGGAGGCCAAAATGGCTGTAAACAAGGAACCGTGAACCGACGAGGGACCCTTTCCCTTTCCCGTCTCTGTCGCGTCCTCCCTCGTTTGCCTCCGAGCGGCAAGTGCCAAGCCCACGTCCTGGCTGCCGGCTCCGCAGCTGGCCCGGTAGCATAAAACCGGCAATGGCCATCTAAAAGCCATGGCCGTGCAGCTGCAAAAGTCGGGCGGAGGGGAGAGAGAGATCAATCTATTCATCGTATTTGTCCAAAACGCTCCGATGGTTGAAGAAATGATCCTTGTCCCTTTTTTTGTGTATCCTTTGCTTATAATTGCCTAGAGAAAACAGGCTGCCCGAGCCACTCAAAAGGGCTAAAGTGGATCTAGGCATCCCAATTAGCAGATATTTTACAATAAATGTTTGGAAACGGGCTCGAACGCTGTCCAAGAAAGCCCCGAGGATTCAGATCAATTTCATGCCGCCTTATTACTCCGAAAGAGCTAAAGCCACTATTTGGAGTTCAATTTTTCACAGCTAAATTTTTCTGCTTCCTGCATCAATAGTTTCACTTTAAATACTGAAGCAGTCTCGTGTGCGAGAAGAAGGGCACATCTGTTCTTAACTACGATGGCCTAAGGTCACAATTTAGTGAGTGGCTGTCTTGCAAGCAAGTGTTTTCCCCAACGCACAAATACGTTTCGGAGAAGGCGGAGGAGAAAAAGTGGGCGGCGTGCGACGGAAGGAGCCGATCCGGGATTCAAATAGGCAGTGCAAGGCCTCGGCGCGCGGTGTGGCACGAAACCCCTCGGCGCGCTCCGAGGACAACCCCAGGCTGGATTTCACGGGGGCTTACTGAAGCTGTAGCAGAAAATGCTGTAAAAAGCAACGTTGCAGATGCAAGTCCAGTTGTGCCACTTACACCCCGTGTGATGGGCTGGCGGGGGAACTTATGTGGGTCCTGGACATTTTCTCCAATACGTGCATCTTCAGCCAATGTGTGCCCTGACTGCATCAAGCTGTTTTCTCCATCAGCCTCTTCCTCCTTTTCCTCAGGGCACCCTGAAAGTATGGGGCCATGGACACAAGAAAATAGCCCAGTGGTTAGATCCAATGCTTGGGAGGCAGGATTTTTATTCCCAGCTCAACCCCTGCCAAGGACAAGCCACTTAGCTACT